ACATATATATACATACATACATATATACACATATATATACATACATACATATATACACATATATATACATACATACATATATACACATATATATACATACATACATATATACACATATATATACATACATACATATATACACATATATATACATACATACATATATACACATATATATACATACATACATATATACACATATATATACGTACATATATATATACAAAGCAAAGTGACACAGAGCAAAGTGTACGAGAGAGCAGTGGACATACAAGGGAAGATGCTGAGAGATGCTGCAATGCATGAGCCAATCAGCATGATGAACAGAAGATCACGCTGACCTAGCCAATAGTACACCAAGTACGCATTGTATTAGCCAATTGTATCCCGTGTAGGGTCTTGTCTAAGTAAACAAAGCTACCAGCAATGGTTCGCAAATGCGCTTATCTCAATTTCAAAGGGAGGGAACACTGTATATATACACACACACACACACACACACAGGTATACATGTATACAGTGTCAACTTGTCTTGCCCCCTCCTCACATGATCTTGGTCATTGGTCACATGATCTTGGTCCAGGTGATGGAACAAACTACCAGGTGCCACAAGAGCAGGGTCCTCCCTCGCTTCTTTTTAGAAGCACTTTTACTATTTATTATTTATAATTATTTAAGTATTTTTTGTATTTTGTATGTTTACTGTAACTTGTGCTCAGTTAAAAGAGGGAAAAAACGGAAACAGAAAAACATATATAAGAAAAGAATAGATATATAAGAAAAGATCTAAGAATATCATGGGGGATGTACTCGACTGGTGCTGTAGGAGAAGAAAAAAATGAGCTGAGTCCTTAGGCGAGTGGTCTCCACATTGTTTACATTTGCAGCATGCTTTTATAGCAAAAATGAGGGCAAAGCAAAGTCAGGGAACACAGAGGCACTTTAAAAAACAGAAAAGGCCACAGCCCAGCCATACAACCTCAGAGAGTCCTTTTCAAGCCAACAGCAGGGGGAGCCATTCTGTTGCTGAATGTCGTGCATAATGATTATGTCATGCCCTTCACTCTTGACCTGCTATCCCCAACCCCCACTCATTCAACCAAGACACCACCCTTCCTGCTGCCCCGTCCTTACTGGTTGTTACATTGATACGCACATGTCAAGTCAATGTGACACATGACCTCACTTTTAATAATTTCTCCAAGTCAATGTGACACATGACCTCACTTATATATAATAATTTCTTCATTCTGAAGCTAAATGTTTGTATATACAGCTCTGGAAAAAAAAATCAAGAGACCACTTCAATTTTTCTGAAATCAGCATCTCTATATGTATTGATTTAGGTGAACACCTGAACCAAATCGTGGTATAAAAGGAAAAGTATAAAAACCACTGGTGTGGTCATCACTACCCTCTTGCATTAGGTCCAGCTGGATGGCAAAAACAGTGCTAGTAGTACCTCAAAAGTAATTGGTAACTAGTTATAACAAAATAACTACTGACCGTGCTAAAAGGGTTGAAAAGACAAGTTTTGAGTGAGGAAAACAAGGGTTAAATTTTGGCTTTGTTGGTAGAGGGATACAGTGAGCGTCAGGTTGCTTCCATCCTTAAAATTTCTAAGACGGTGGTTCATAAGAACAAGGTCAGAAATGTTGGCAGTAGTTTAAAGAATTAAACTAAAAATGTTTATTTTACCCAAACACATACCCATAAATAGTAAAATTAAAAAAAAATCAAACAGATAATTTTGCAGTGGTCTCTTAATTTTAATTAAGATTAATCAAAGGACCCACACTGCTGTTGCTATGAAACACACACAGACCCTCTCCACAATGGCAGTGGCATAAGTTGGGCCAATCAGAGAGCGGCATAATGGGCCTCTGTGAAGTGAACTGCGAGTGAGGGGCTGCTCAACTCCAAACAGTAGTCCCCTTGACTGCATACATGCATGAAAGCACAGTCCAGAACCACCAAAATACAGAACTGAAAATGACGAATCAGATTCAGAGAGCAGAAACAATTACTGGCGTGCGTTGTATAAGAAGAACTTAGCACAACAGTACTGTACAGGTCTTGAATAGCGATTCATAAAGAAAACTACCTCTAAAGAAATTGTTAAACACTTGTTAGGGCTCAGAAAGTGTAAAATAGTGTACATACATACATATATATACATATATACATATATATACACATATATACATACATATATATACATATATACACATATATATATATATACACACATATATATATAATATATATATACAGTGGTATTAAAAACTTAATTTATGCTGAGCACTATATACTGTATATATATATATATACATACATATATACATACATATATACATACATATATACATACATATATACATACATATATACATACATATATACATACATACATATATACATCATTTTCAAGATTTTCCTTTATGGATCATTGGTTGTTCGGAACAGCAATTTCAATTAAATATATCATATAGCAAACAAACACAGTGATATTTAAGAAGTGACATGAAGTTTATAGGATTTACAGAAAGTGTGCAATAATTACTTAATTAATAATTACAAAAAAGTAGGCAGGTGCATAAATTTGGGCACCCTTGTTGTTTTATTGATTCGAATACCTTTAGCACCAATTATTGGAACACAAAATTTGTTTGGTAAGCTCATTGACCCTTGACCTACATACACAGGTGAAGCCAATCATGAGAAAGGGTATTTAAGGTGGCCAG